CAGGTAGAACACACTCTCTCTTTCTCTCTCTGCCTCTCTATAACTCTGATGTTGCTGTGGATTCGTTCCTGAGAGGAGAAGCGTGGTTGGGGCAAGAGGTGCGGAGTCACCACACAGACCCCAGGAGTCAGGTGAAAGCAGGCCAGAGTCGACCAGCCCACAGACTTGTTTATTTCAGTTGGTACAGCGGCTTAAATAGCCAAGGCAGCCAATCCGGTCAAGGGGTGGTTTATGCCCTAATCAATCACAGCCCGTTGCCAGGCAGTATCCAAAGCTATCCAATCACAGGCTGTTGCCAGGCAGGCTCCGTTGCCAGGTGGGTTTCAAAGCCATTCCTGAGTAACTGACACTCGCTTGCCAGCAGCCATCTTGGCATGGCCTTCTCATTCCACCACATTTCCCCCTTTTCATTTATTTTTGAACAACGGGAGGCATGATTCTTGGCCATACCATTGTTGACCCCATTTCCATGTGGTCTCTGTACGTGGCTGTGCCTGTCTTAGGTTGTCCCCCAGGGGATCTTACCCGTCATTGATAACCAGTGCTCAAAACGAGATGCCGACGCCGCGGCTCAATAGGCTAATCCTCCACCTAGCGGCGCCGGCACACCGGGTTCTAGTCTTGGTCGGGGTGCCGGATTCTTTCCCGGTTGCCCCTCTTCCAGGCCAGCCCTCTGCTGTGGCCAGGGAGTGCAGTGGAGGATGGCCCAAGTGCTTGGGCCCTGCACTCCATGGGAGACCAGGATAAGTACCTGGCTCCTGCCATTGGATCAGCGTGGTGCGCCGGCCGCAGTGCGCCAGCCGTGGCAGCCATTGGAGGGTGAACCAATGGCAAAGGAAGACCTTTCTCTCTCTCTCTCTCACTGTCCACTCTGTCAAAAAAAAAAAAAAAAAAGAGACCACAGGAGTGCTTGCTCAAATAGGGGTAGGAATGAGGAACAATGGTAATCAGGAATGGCATGACCACAGACAGGCTGTGGGCCATTCGAGTGGCTGACTAGAGCAACACTCTGCCTTTCAAAAAAATAAATCTTAAAAAAAAAAAAAGACACCTGCTCCTCATACTGACATATCTGGTACTTGGTACTTGTGTCTGGCACCAGTTTTTAACTCCAGCTTCCTGCTAACACAGGCACTGGGAAGCAGCAGTAATGGTTCAAGTAGTTGGGTTCTTGCCACCAATATGGGAGACTTGGATTAAGTCTCTACCTCCTGGCTTTGATCAACCTAGTCTTGACCACTGTGGGCTTTTAGGTAGTGAACTAGCCAATGGGAACAAACACACACACTCGCTCTCTCTCTCAAATAAATAAAATAAAAAACAATTTATCTCCTTTACCATTAAGCCATGATGGCAACTGGGGATATATACGTTAAAAAAAAGAAAATCAATGGGGACCAGCCAGAATTGTAGCACAAAGGGTTAAGCTACCACCTGCAACATTGGCATCCCATATGGGTGTCAGTTTGAGTCCTGGCTACTCCGTTAATGTGCTTAGGAAAGCAGCAGAAGATGGCCCAAGCGCTTGGGCCCTGAACCAATGTGGGAGACCTAGATGAAGTTCCTGGCACCCAGCTCCTGGCTTCCGTCTGACTCATCTGTCATTGTGACTATTTGGGGCGTGAATCAGCAGGTGGAAGATCTTTCTCTGTCACTCCCTCTCTTTCTGCCATCATGAGCTTTACCACCTTTAAGAAACTATCACTTGTAGAATCTTGGTGTAGTATCAAAGAATGAGTCCTGGTTACCTGAAAAGCCTGCTTAAAAACTAATCCCAGGGCCAGCATTGTAGTGAAGCAGGTTAACCTGCCACGTGCAACACTGGCATTCTATACTGGAGGGCAGGTTTAAGTCCCGGCTGCTCTGCTTCCAATCCAGCTTCTTCCTGGTGCATATGGGTGGGCAGAGGAAGATGGCCCAGTTGTTTGGGCCCCTGCCACCCACATGAGAGACCACAGTGGAATTCCTGGCTTCAGCCTGGCCCAGATCTGGCCACCTGGAGAGTGAAACACTAAATAGAAGATTCCTCTCTCTCTCTCTTCTTTTTTCTCTCTCCTCTTCTTTCTCTCTGCCTTGCAAAAAAAAAACAAACAAAACAAAAACAAAAAAAAAAAAAAAAAAAAAAAACCCAAAAACTTCCTACTTCCTTTTCCGACTACATATCTGTGTGAACTCAGTTTATTTCAACTCAAACAACATATAACAGATTGAACATAGAAGCAGCTATGATAACCCAGCTGTTCTCTATTAAACCAAACATTACAGAGATCTGCAAAACTATAAATAAAGCAGAACAGATTCCAAGAGGTCAGAGGAAACTGCAGAATAAGGATGGCACAACCTATAGTTTAGGGCAATATCCTTAAGTTGAAACTGAAGAGCTCTCTACTATGGACTGGAGGTAACAGGTAAGATCAAAGAGAAGCTCAAACATTCTGTCTACTATGAAGATAAAAAGAGAGCCTCAATCTGTAAGAGCAAAGAGGCAATCTTTGGTAACCAGCGTCAAGCAATACTGCAATAGTGAATGAGTTCCCTCTCTCCTTTATAAAAATATGCAACTAGTGGCCTATGTGCTTTCCCTTAAGATACTTACATTCAATTTTAAGTTCCTAACATTCAGGAAATTCCTTCATGCTTCATAACCCACCTCACACACACACACACTCATGCACAGACACACACCCATGCTCACACACAGGCACACATACTCATACACATGCTCACCTCTTCATATACTCACACAGACACGCTCTCACAGTCTCACATTTACGGTCATACACACACACACACACACACACACACTTGCTCACATATACACTCACTCACAGACACACTCATTCACATAAAAATACCTATAAAAAGATATTTACAAAGAATCAAAAGGGAGAGTTGGTACCTATAGGCACAGTATTCTTTCATGAAGCTAGTTAGGAAAGGAATACATTATACATTCTCTCCTAACTAGTTAAAAAAAAAAGGAGTCATGGAGCAACAGAAGGCTGCTGCTAATAAAATTGAGGCCAGTCATTGCAAGTCATCCTGCCATAGCAGTGAACATGAGAAGGGGGGCGGGGGGATGAAGCAACAGGCCAGCAACAGCTGCAAATGATGCATCAGTTTATCACCTATAGACCTACAGCCATGTGAGCACCTAGGCAATATGACAATGAAGGCTAGCCATCAGGGAGCCCTAATCCTCTCTATCAAGTACCTTCATTTGATGCTGTCAAATCACATGTTCAAAGCAGACTTTCATACCCTTCCTAAACTTGTTCCCTCTTGGGAGTCTCCTATCTTAGTGACCGGCTCTATTGCCCTAATTCTTCACCTTCCTTCCCTTCTTACACCCAACTGGTCACTAAATAATACACTTCCCTGACTACCTGCTACTAAATTACTTGGCACTTGTCAAATCTCTTAAATATGCCCATTTCTCTGTTTCTGTAACCACTTCCCAATCCAGGCAACTATAATGGCATGAGGGTATTACTGCAAGAGCATCAAAAGCAGACTTATGGTCACTGATTTTAGCATAATGCAGTTCCTAAAACATTAGCTGACATATCACACTCCATCTTGAAACTTTTAAATAGCTTTGCACTGTAGGCAGGATAAAATCCTATTCCTCTATGTGGCTTACAAAGCCCTTCATAACATGGCTACTGCTTACCTTGCCAGGCATATTTTTTTTTTTTTTTTTTTGACAGGCAGAGTGGACAGTGAGAGAGAGAGAGAGAGAGAGAGAGAGAGAGAAAGGTCTTCCTTTTGCTGTTGGTTCACCCTCCAATGGCTGCCGCGGCCGGCGCGCTGCGGCCGGCGCACCGCGCAGATCCGATGGCAGGAGCCAGGAGCCAGGTGCTTTTCCTGGTCTCCCATGGGGTGCAGGGCCCAAGCACCTGGGCCATCCTCCACTGCACTTCCGGGCCACAGCAGAGGGCTGGCCTGGAAGAGGGGCAACCGGGACAGAATCCAGCGCCCCGACCGGGACTAGAACCTGGTGTGCCGGCGCCACTAGGCGGAGGATTAGCCTAGTGAGCCGCGGCGCCAGCCGCCAGGCATATTTCTTATCCTTACTCTTTGCTTTCTTTGGTCTGGTCATGCTGAACTACCTTCAGTATGGTGGTGTTACACGTTCCCTCTTAGCTCCAGTCTGTAAAATAAGCTGGTGATTCCTAAACTTGCAACATCTCCCTGACATTTCAATTTAGCTGGCATGGAGGTGAGACCTAGGCATAGGAATTCTTCAAAATTCCTTGAAAAATTATAATGTGGAAGCTTGAAAACCACAGGATTAAGTTATTTGTTCTGCCAGTCACACCCACTTCACCTAGAAAATCTCTTATCATGTTTTAGCCTTCATAAAGAAAAAGTCAGGGCAATGTTATAGTATAGAAGGTTAAGCTGCAACCAAGGATGTCTATGTCCTATATCAGAGTGCCTGGTTCAAGTCCAGACTATTGCACACTTCCGATCCAGCATTCTGAGAATGTACCTGGGAGACAGCAGATGATGGCCCAAGTACTCGGGTTCCTGCCACCTACATGGGAGACTCAGACAATCTTCATGTGGTCTCCTGGCTTTGAACCAGCATAGCCCTGGTTATTGTGGACATTTGGGGAGTGAACCACAAATGAAGTTATCTGTGTGTACATGTTTCTATTTCAAATAAATAAATGAATCTAAAAAGTCACTTTCCTAACACCCTACACCAAATTAGCTGCCCACAGAACAAATCAGTGCCCCTACATATTGGGCTCCCCTGAACACATTTATCATTTCAGTCATTGTACAACTGTCTTCATTCCCTACTAGACTATACACTGTATTCAAGTTACATCTAGCAAAGAAGCTACACTACAGGCATGGTATGTATTTGATGGTATGTATTTGAAGTATACCTGAAAGAACACATTTAAGATAGCAAAATAAATTCACAGAATCAAGAAGAGAAAGAATTTGTTGACAATGAACAAATCTGGCTGTGGCTGAAAACTTACCTGCTTAATGACATAATGAATCTCTTCAGAATTGAGAACACTGTTTTTGATATCACTTGGCTTGCAAGGGGTAATACCCTTGTAGACAAGAGGTGTATAGCATTTCATTGCAAATTTCAAGTCACTGACATGCCTCCTCTCTTCTAAAATATCTTCAAATTCATCCCACTTTTTGAGCTCTTTCTGTGGATCAGGCAAAAGAAAGAAGCACATATTATACAATAAATTAGGACAGTTTAAGGACATTGGTAAGTTCATTTTTGTCAAACATTTTAATTCATCTGAACTAGAGTGTTCTGATAGATTTTCCTATACTAAGAAAAAGAAATCTAACAATACTGAATTATCATAATGTTATCATATTTCTAATTGGTTTCTTTGCAAAACCATCAATCCTTTGGGGAAAAATGAGAATCAGCTCTAGAGCAATCTGACCAATTTTACAAGGTTTCACTTACCATACTGACAATTTTCTTTTGTCTGCCTCAACTTGGCTTTAAAAATTACAACAGGCCGGCGCCATGGCTCACTAGGCTAATCCTCTGCCTGCGGTGCCGGCACCGTGGGTTCTAGTCCCGGTTGGGGTGCCGGATTCTGTCCCGGTTGCTCCTCTTCCAGTCCAGCTCTCTGCTGTGGCCCGGGAGTGCAGAGGAAGATGGCCCAGGCCCTTGGGCCCTGCACCCCCATGGGAGACCAGGAGGAAGCACCTGGCTCCTGGCTTTGGATTGGTGCAGCGCCCCGGCCGTAGCGGCCACTTGGAGGGTGAACCAATGGAAAAAGGAAGACCTTTCTTTCTTTCTCTCTCACTGTCTAACTCTGCCTGTCAAAATAAAAAAAATAAAAATTACAACAGAACATGTATCAGATATCTAAAATTATGACAAATAAAAACTAAAGAAAAAAGTACTACCCTATAAGCAGTCTGCATTGTGGTGAATATTTCTTTACCTGCTGTTTAAGCCACTGCAATCCAACCAGACCCTGAAACTGCTTGTTGTAAGTCTACCAAGGAATCCTGAATTGTTAATTGACTAAAAGTACTTTTCTGATTACAAAATTAATGGTAGTGGGGCTGGCACTGTGGGGCAGCAGGTTAAAGCCCTGGCCTGCAGCACTGGCATCTCATATGGGCTCCAGTTCAAGTCCCAGCTGCTCCACTTCTGATCCTGCTCCCTACCAATGCACCTGGGAAAGCAATGGAAGATGGTCCAAGTCCTTGAGCCCCTGCATCCATGTGGGGAACCCCGAAGAAGTTCCTGGCTTTGGATCAGCTCAGCTCCTGCTTTTGCAGCCATTTGGGGAGTGACACACAAGATTGAAGACTTCTTTCTCTGCGTCTCTACCTCTCTCTGTAACTCTTTCAAATATATTTTAAAAAATCTTAAAAAAATAAAAAGGGGCCCGCGCTGTGGTGCAGCGTGTTACAGCTCTGGCCTGAGGCATCAGCATCCCATATGGGTGCCAGTTCTAGTCCCAGCTGCTCCTCTTCTGATCCAGCTCTCTGCTATGGCCTGGAAAAGCAGTAGAAGATGGCCCAAGTCCTTAGGCCCCTGCACCCACATGGGAGACCTGGAAGAAGCTCCTGGCTCCTGGAAGAAGCACAGCTCCAGCTGTTGTGGCCATCTGGGGAGTGAACCAGCAGATGGAAGACCCCTCTCTCTCTGCCTCTCCTCTCTCTGTGTAACTCTGACTTTCAAATAAATAAAAAAAAATCTTTAAAAAAAAGAAGGTAATGGTAGCAATAATTGTAGTGAACACAGTTGTCAGCCACTATTCTAAGAGCTTGACATATTAAAGAACACTCCTCCAACAAACCTATGAAGTATTTATTATCACCACCCCCATTTTATAATGGGAAAACATAGATAAAGCAGTGAAATAATTTGTGCAAGGTCTCACAGCTTGTAAAGGTCAGAGACATGACTCAAACTCGGGCCTATCAGTTTCACAGGCCTTGTTCACTCTTCACTACATTTATTTATGGAAAATCTGGAAAGACAGAAACATGTAAGCAAATATCAACTGCCCACAATTTTACATTCCAGAGATGAATCATCATAATATGAAGTAGTTTCCTTACTCTTTCCTTTCATAGCATCTTTTTTTCAAAATAGACCCCAAGCTAAATCATTTATCCTGTCTTTTCAACTCTAAATATTACCCTATACTAAATAGTGTTTTAAACATTGTAGTGGCTACATAATCATAATCCATCCAGCCTTGTTAACATAGCTTCTAAGAATGTAGCATGGCCATTCCTCATCTACACGGCCACTGCTTAAGCTCAGGCTTCCTGTGCAGCCTGTACTCTTTATTACAACACTTTCCTCACTGATCTTGACTATGGTTTTGTTCCCTTTGAATCAATACTCTACGCTGCCCTTGTGTTCTTTTCAAAGCACAATCCTGACGAAATTACTCCTTGCCTAAAATACATAAATGGACTCACACTTCCTTCAGAGTAAGACCTAAGTCACTTCTGGGATCATGTTAAGATCTACCACAGCCTGGTCTTTCCTTCCCACTCCAGAGTCATTGCCCACAGGCCTCTCGACTGAAAAAGTTGCATTTCCCCAACACATTTTATTATTGGCATATCCCTGGACCTTTACACATTTTGTACTTGCTTAGACATCAGTTTTCTGTGCAAGTTCTTCCCCAAGCTGCCCAGAGGGAATTATTCACACCCTCTTCATTAGGTCTTCTTTGCTACTACCTATACCTAATACACTATGTATTCAACAGTTGGTTTCTTCTTTGCAATTCCAACATCTGACCACGATGCTGGAATTCTGGTGTAAAAATGTAGTCATTGTAAGAGTAGTCAAATTTTACATTTCTCGTTAATAAAGTAATATACGCTTATATCAGCTCAGACCTGAAACTATCATCATAATTTTAGGGCTAAAAGGGATCTTAGGAACTTCCCATTTAGTAGTACTGGGAGTGGAAGCAGAAAAGGATCAGAATCAGAGGGGTGGGGGAAGACCTCCAGACAAGTAAGAACCCACAAGGAAGAGAAGCAGCCATATATATTTTGAAAAAGCTTGTCAAATATAATGATCTACACTCCTTCCATGGCTTTCTGTTCCTTGCACAATCAAGTCTACTCATCTTAGCATCTGACCCCAAGCCCTTCATGAGTCCTGACCACCCACATCTATCATTCCCCTTCTCCCAACAGTCTAGCTATGCAAAGACCTAAACAGGCTATGGTATTTCAGGACCTCTGTTCAACAGCACTCATTCTCAAGTATTAGCACTTATTATGTGCTTGGCACTGTGGTTATGTGTTGGGTACAGGGTGGTGATCAACACAGACACAGTTTCTTTTATGAGTAACCTGGTTCATGGTGGTACCATTCACTGAGAGACATTTACAAATGCCCTTTCCTCACTGTTCACCATCAATCATAGCTGGTGTCCACCTCCTCTGCGTACCATTTCCTGGTTCTCCACATTACCTAGACTGAACTGTTCATTCTCTCATTTGCATCTTTACTGAATCCTCAATAACTAGATTTTCAAGGTGATATCTAAAATATTTTAATAAACTTAAATTTGGTACTTTCCCCAACAAAACCATAGATTTCTTGACCAGACATGTAATGCCTTACACATTTTTGTAGTCCCTATCCTTCGCAGAAAGTCAGTCACTGTTTGTAGAATGGAAATACAAATTACTAAATGAAGCTACTTTTTGAATCCTGTTAAGATAACAGCTCCCCAATACTCACAGGAAATGGTCAAAATGGCCCCAATCTGGCCCTAACCTAATCTATTCTGGTGGTTTTTATGTTGGGCTGCTCAATAAAAATATTCTGAAGCCTCACCTCTAGAGATTGTTGATTAATGTGGTCTTGACTGGTACCTGGGCATCAGAATGTTTTTAAGTGCTCTAAATGATTCTAACATGCAGCTACGACTGCTAACTGCTTATTAACTGGCCTTTGCTGAGCCATGCTGGAGAAGTATTTACATCAATAAGCAAATATATTTACATGGCTACTCACCCAGGAACACAATGTAAAGAGCCCAAGTAAGATTTGGGAAAGTCTTTGTCCTCTATCTTAATTTGTATAGTAGGCCTCTCCCTAACCATAGCTTAACAAACCTCTCCTTGTACCTTGTTTCCAAGTGCTCTGGAAAATCCATTCATTCAATATCTAGCAATTGAGAACCCATAATGTACCAGGCACCATTATTCAGGCTAACAACTAAGCTCAGCCAAGGGAGGCAAGGGACAGAGCTTACATACATGCCCTTAAGAAAAGACCAACTACAACAGAAAGTGAGGTAGTGCACACTTAGGGGACGCCACCAGTAGTGTGCTGGTTAATGTTTAACCATTTAGCCAGCAAGAGAGAGCCTATTAACACTGGCTAATTTCTGTGGTACACATATTCTTTTTTTTTTTTTCCTGTAAGCTTTATTTATTTATTTGAAAGGCAGAGAGAAAAAGAGAAGTCTTCCATCTTCTGGTTCACTACCCAGATGGCTTCAATGGCTGCAGCTGAGCCAATCCGAAGCCAGGAGCTTCTGCCATTTTCTGCTTTCCCAGGCTGGGACTCGAACCGGCGCCGATATGGGATGCCGACACTGCAGGTGGCAGCTTTACCCGCTACACCACAGCGCCAGCCCCAGCACATATACTCTTGAAACAGCAGAATTCAAGCTACTAATGGCCTCACAAAGCATGGAGTTGGAGAGATGCACAATAGCACATCACTATATATGATCTCTACCTTCCAGTGTGATGGACATAAATAACCTCAACAAGATAGAAAACAGGAAAAATTCAGTAAAATTCTTAAAAGAATACTAAGTCCATGGCTGGTGCCGCGGCTCACTAGGCTAATCCTCCGCCTTGCGGCACCGGCACACCCGGTTCTAGTCCCGGTCGGGGCGCCGGATTCTGTCCCGGTTGCCCCTCTTCCAGGCCAGCTCTCTGCTGTGGCCAGGGAGTGCAGTGGAGGATGGCCCAAGTGCTTGGGTCCTGCACCCCATGGGAGACCAGGATAAGTACCTGGCTCCTGCCATCGGATCAGTGCGGTGCGCCGGCCGCAGCGCGCCGGCCGTGGCGGCCATTGGAGGGTGAACCAACGGCAAAGGAAGACCTTTCTCTCTCTCTCTCTGCTTGTCAAAAAAAAAAAAAAAACAACTAAGTCCTGAGTCTTTATTAGCTTTGTTTTCAATAAAATTTACTTAATCATTAATTTATAAATTAATTCTTTACTTTTTAATAAAGTGGGGTTGCAACCTTCATAAAAATTTAACAGCTCTTCGAGGCCATTTTAAGACTACTGTAGCACACCACTGGAAAGAGAATACAAACCAAAGTAACTACTGATGAGAGCTACTTTAGACTGAATGGTTACCAAAGACCTCTCTAAGGAGGTAATATTTGAGTTGTGACCAAGAGCCAGCAGTGCAAAGTTCTGCGAAAATAGCATGCCACCAAGAGGTGAGAGCATTCTGAGCACAGAGCAAGGGACTGTCAGAGAAAAGGAAGACCAGAGTAGTTGAAGCCCAGGGAACAAAATGATTAAGGTTAGAACAACAGCAGATACCAGATCATGTACAGTCTTCTGGTAAGGCACTCAGATCATCCACTGAGACTCTAACAGGGAGCCACAATTTGGATTCTGGTACACCAGTTGTGATCTATTCCCAATCTTCTTTTCATTGCATGAGCTCACTGAAGAATCCCAAGCACACCTGCAGCTTCATACACAACATACTTGCTGATGACTGTCAGATCTATATAGTTAGGCCAAATCATCCTTTT